CATAGTTTGGGATCCCCACACCAAAAACGCGAGTGTGCCGCATCGCTAAGCACGCGAAAACACGCAGAAGGAAAACTAATTGACATCGGCAAGAATCTTTAACCGAAGCACTGTCTAAATCAACAGAATTCCACAAGTGAAATACACGTGTGTAAATTTAAGGGAGGGCCAAAACGGGCATCTTAAAAAGTCAAATAAGCATCGTTTGGTATCCCGTTACCACAGACGCGAGTGTGCCGCAGCGTTAAGCGCGCGAAAACACGCGGGAATAAAGAAAATTGACATGGACGAGGATCTTCAACCCACGCAATGTCCAAATCGATAAAATTTCACAGGTAAAAGACACGTGTAAGTATTGCGTGGGATCCCGACACCAAAAACGTGAGTGTGCCGCATCGCTTAACGTGCTAGAGCACGGGGGAGATAAGAAAATTGACATAAGAGACAGTCTCCAAACCAACCACTGTTCAAATCCATAGATTATTTACAAGTGAAGTACACGTGTGTAAATTTCACGTACACGTGTGTGCCGCATTGCTAAACGCGCGAAAACACCCAGAAGAAAAGAAAATTGAAATCGGCGAGAATCTTTAACCGAAGCACTGTCCAAATGGAATTCTACAGGTAGAATACAGCTGTGTAGATTAGGGGAAAGGCAAAAACTAGCATCTTTAAAAAACCCACTTAGCATCGTTTGGGATCCCGACACCCAAAACACGAGTGTGCCGCATCGCTAAAGGTGCGAGAATACGCGAGAGAAAAGAAAATTGACATGACCGAGAATCCTTAACCCAAGCAATGTCCAAATCGATAGAATTCACAAGTGAAAGACACGTGTGTATATTAAGCGGAAGGCCGAAGCTAGCGCCTTTGACATGGGCGACAATCTTCAACCCTAGAACTGTTAAAATCCATGGAATTTTATAAGTGGAATACACGTGCATATATTTGAAAAAGGGCCAAAACTAGCATGTTTAAAGAACCCAATAAGCATCGTTTTGAATCCCGACACCAAAAACGCGAGTGTGGCGCATCGCTAAACGTGCAAGAACACCGCGGAGATAAGAAAATTGATATGGACGAAAATCTCCAACCCAAGCACATTGGAAATCGATACACTATTCACAAATGAAATACACGTAAGTAAATTTAAGAGAGGGTTAAATCTAGCATTTTTTAAAAAAATAAAGTAAGCATAGTTTAGTATAGTTTGGGATCCCCCACAAAAAAAAAATTGACCGTGCCGCATTCCTAAACGCCCGAAAACACTCAACAGAAAACAAAATTGACATGGGCGAGAATCTTCAACCCAAGCACTGTCCAAATCAATAGAATTCCACAAGTGAAATATACGTGTGTAACTTTAAGGAAGGGCCAAAACGGGCATTTTTAAAAAGTCAAATATGTATCGTGTGGTATCAGGTTACCAAAGACGCGTGTGTGCCGCATCGCTAAACGTGCAAGAATACGCAGCAGATAAGCAAACTGACATGGGCGAGAAACTTTAACGCAAGCACAGCCCAAATCGATAAAATTTCACAAGTGAAATACACGTGTTTAGATTTGGCAGAGGGTCAAAACTAGCGTCTTTAAAAAGCCCAGTAATTATAGTTTGGGATCCCGATATCAAAGAAGGCTATAGTGCCGCATCGCTAAACGTGAGAGAACACGCGGAAGATAAGAAAATTGACATGGACAAGAATATTCAACCCAAGCACATTCCAAATCGATAGACTCTTTACAAGTGAAATACACATGTGTGAATTTGAGAGAGCGCCAAAACTAGCACCTTAAAAAAGTCTAGTTAGCATAGTTTTGGATCCCCACACCAAAAACGCGAGTGTGCCGCATCAATAAACGCGCGAAAACACGCGGGAGAAAAGAAAATTGACATGGTCGAGAATCTTCAACTTAAGCATTGTCCAAATCGACAGAATTATACAAGTGAAATACACGTGTGTAGATTTGAGAGACGGCCATAATAAGCATCGTTAAAAAGCCAAGTGAGCGTCGTTTGGGATTCCGACACCATAAACGCGAGTGTGCCGCATCGCTAAACGCGCGAGAACACGCAAGGAAAAAGAAAATTAAAATGAGCGAGAATCTTCGAGCCAAGAACTGTCCAACTCGATAGACTTGAGTTAAATACGCGTGTGCAGATTTGAAAGAAGACCAAAACTAGCATCTTTAAAAAGCCAAGTAAGCATCGTTTGGGATCCTGACACCAAAGAGGAGTGTGCTGTATGGCTAAACGCGCGAGAACACGCGAGAAAAAAGAAAATTGAAATTAGCGAGAATCTTTAACCGAAGAACTGTCCAATTCGATAAACTTCTATGAGTTAAATACACGTGTGTAGATTTGAAAGAAGACCAAAACTAGCCTCTTTAAAGAGCCCAGTAAGCATAGTTTGGGATCCCTATACCAAAAACGCGAGTTTGCCGCATCGTTAAACGTGGAAGAACACGCGGGAGATAAGAAAATTGACATGGGCAAGAATCTTAAACCGAAGCACATTCCAAATCGATAGACTTTTTACAAGTGAAGTACACGTGAGTAAATTTGAGAGAGGGCCAAAACCAGCATCTTTAAATAGTCAAGTAAGCATAGTTTGGGTTTCCCTACACCAAAAACGGGAGTGTGCCGCATCGCTTAACGCGCGAAAACACACGGGAGATAAGAAAATTGACATTGGCGAGAATCTTCCACCCAAGCATTGTTCAAATCGATAGAATTCCACAAGTGCAATACACGTGTGTAGTTTTTTGGGGAGGGCCAAAAGTAGCATCTATTAAAAACCCAGTAAGCATAGTTTAAAATCCCGACACCGAAAGCGCAAGAAAAAAGAAAAATGAAATCAGGGAGAATCTTCCACCCAAGCACTCTTTAAATCGATAGAATTCCACAAGTAAAATACACGTGTGTAAATTTGAGAATCTTGTGCGTGTGTTTTACGCTTTTGAATATCTTAAGTTTAACAGTGCGTGGATTGGAAATTCTCACCCATATCTTTTTTGTTTGTTTGTTTGTTTCCATTCCCGTTCGTTTAGCGATGTGCCACAGTCGCGTTTTCGCTTTGGGGATCCTTTATTTTCACGAAAGNTAAATGGACACTAATCTTTTTAGGGCAGCCAAAAAGAAATTGAAATGCAAAAAGTAGCGAGTGTAAAAGGGACGAGAAAAAGGAAAAGAAAGGGCAATAAAAAAATTCGGAACAGGCAATCGCATTTTTTTCTTTGGAAATAATTTATTAAACTGCTCTAATTTCCTCAGAGCTTGGTTTTGCCGCGGAGCAGACGATCTATCTATGTTTACTTCTAGTGTGTTTCTCAAAAATTTTAGTTTATGCAAAGTCACTTGAACACCCAGGAGTCATTGGGTTAAGAATATTAAAATTTGAAAGCAAAAATGCAGTGATCACTTTATTGTGGGTATCACAGGACTTTACGAGTGCGAATCTTTCGAGTTTGAAGGTAAGTGGATTGCAAATTTTCGCCCATATCATTTTTTCTTGTTTCTGTTCACCCCCGCGCGTTAAGCGATGTGCCACATTCGCGTTTCCGTTCTCGAGGTCGCTAAGATCCTTAAAAGGCGCAAATTCTGGACCTCCCTCGTCCTCCTCACGTGTGTTTCACGCGTGCAATTTTTTCAGCTTAACAGTACGTGGATTGAAAATTCTCCCCCATATCATTGCTTCTTGTTTCTTTCCATTATCGCGCGTTGAACGATGTGCCACAGTCGCGTTTGTGTTCTCGAGATCGCTAAGATCCTTCAGAGGTGCAAATTTAGGCCCTCCCTCGTTCTCCTCGCGTGTGTTTTACGCTTTTGAATCTCTTCAGTTTAACAGTGCGTGGGTTGGAAATTCTCACCCATATATTTTTTGTTTGTTTGTTTGTTTCCATTCCCGCCCGTTTAGCGATGTGCCACAGTCGCGTTTTCGGTTTGGGGATCCTTTATTTTCATGAAAGGCGCAAATGTTAGCCCTCCGTTAAGTCGCTAGGCGTGTGTTTCACGCGTGGAGATCTCTCAAGTTTGACAGTGCGTGGATTTTCTTGTTTCTTTGCCTCCTCGCATGTTTAGCGATGTGCCACATCCGCGTTTTCGTTCTCGGGATCGTAAAGATCCTTTATATTTTCAAAATTTGGCCCTCCCTTAAATCTACACACGTTGCTTTCACGGATAAAAGTCTCTCGACTTTGACAGTTAGGACTGGAAATTCTCGCCCATATCATTTCTTCTTGTTTCTTTGCATCCTCGCGCATTTAGCGATGTGCCACACTCGCGTTTTCGTTCTCGAGATCGCGAACATCCTTGAAAGGTGCAAATCTCGTTCTCCTCGCGTGTGTTTCACGCGTGTGAGACCCTTCAGCCTGGACTCACCCAACACGCGTGTGACGGTTTCAGGAATAAATAGGCCGTGTCCGAGAATTAATTTATTTTTCGCTTTTCTGTATTTTCTCGAGACGTGAGCTTGGGATGCCTGAGCTGAATACGGCAAAAAAAAAAAAAAAGGCTCAATGAATAGCCTTTGGAAGAAAGCTCTCCCTCGCTCGCTTTTCACGACATGCTTCCATTCCCCTCAGGCAAAAATTAAAGTGAACACCAACGTGCGGCCTTTTCATGCCTTACTTCGGTTAGATCACAAGCTACTCCTAATCCTTTCTGCTTCTTGAAAATGGCCGACTGAAGTGAACTGTCAGCCTGAGAATGACAAGATATAACCTTGTCTTTTATTACCTGATCAACAATCGTCTTATGTGGTCCTTCGTAAAGATTGTAATCCGCGAACTTCCAGTCACTTCTGTTCAGAGAACATCTTCTATCGTACAGTTCAATAGGTCTTGTTGCTGTGCTGTAGACCTTGCTCAGTGCTGATGAGCTGTTCGACTCCAAACACGCCGAACTATTGTTGGCGCACATCCATGGTGGCTCGTACGCCGCAAACACCATGATAAGAGTTTGATAGGCGATGGGTAAAAATATGAACATGAACATGACTAAAATACGAATCTGGTAAGGACCAAGCTGCGTTAAACGTCTCAGAGTCGAGTCCACGTCCAAAGCCATCGTGTTTTCGAAGCCCAGCTCTTAGAAACCAGAGAGCTCTTACTGGCGTACACTTCCGGATTCAAGTCTATCCTGTTTCATCTAAGACTTCAACCCGATTGGCTGCGACCCTTGCTTCGTTTGCTACGTGTAAACTATATTCCCGGGTTGTTAGTACGCTGGACAAAACTGTTCTGGATCGACATTTTACCACAAAAATTAAAACAAGCAAAGGGATGCAAATAATTTTTTGATTTCATTAAACCTTATTAAATTCCACACATGGAAAGTTATTTTCATATAGATCACGCAAGGCAGACTTGCGTTACAGTGTATCTAAATTTGCGGACTGAATCACAGAAGTACGGAAAATTGGGCGGTTTCTGAGAAAAAAAATGGTCATGGTTTACACCGACATCGTATAGTTAGACCAGTGTTGTTATGCGGAGAACATCGTTACGCGTTTTTGGATTTTTTTTCATGAATTCGGCGAGGACATGGTACTATGAGGAAGGAGAGATAATCCATCTAAACAGCAGTTATAGTCCTGTGATACATCCGCAGCGGTTTAGAGAATCAAAGATTCAAGTTGTGGTGCTACCACCGAAGGGGCAGAAGGCAAACCAGACAAAAATTTCAAGCTGTTATGGATGAAAATGCGAGAAAGTAGCAAGCTCCAGGTGGATGAGCCCAGAAAGAGGTCCGGAAACTTTCCTAAAAGCACAAATAGCTGTGTCTGAAGTTGTTGACCGACAACGCTTTAACACACATTGTGGCTTCTACGAAGCGCGAGCTAAAGGCAGCCATCTTTAGAACAGGTGGACGACCGATCTAGTGGCAACAACAGTTCAAGTAAGACATTAAAGAATATCAGTTTCTGAAGACAGTATCATATTTAAGGGGCCAAATAAGTTGTAAGTCTTTCTCATGCTTTCTTGTCAAAATCTTGACAAAAAAATCTGCCAGCACGTAAATAGTTTCTTCGCAAAACAACACTCCAAATGCGACTCTTTTTTCTCAGAAATCCCGTGATTTTACATACTTTTGTGACCTACTTACCAAATTTGGACAAGGTGTAACGCAAGCCTTTCTTGCGTTATCCGTATAAAACTAAGTTTCCATGTGTGGAGTTAAGTAAAGTTTAAGACAATCACAAAATTATTTGTCACTTTGTTTGTTATAATTTTTTCTTGTAAAACGTCGATCCAGAACAGTTTTGTCCTGCGTACTGTGTTAATTTTCCCAAGACATGCGACAAAACTTTTTAAACAATAGCTGACTAACATCATTAAAATAATAGGCGTCAAAACATGAGTGAACTCGATTTACCGCGATAAGAAGCTGGCAGAAACAAACAACTAAACGAAGAAAACAAAACAAGGAATACAACACAGTAACAGGGAAAGTTAATTTTATTCACAAAATTCTTTCAAGTCCTAAAAGAGCGTGCAAATTTATACTGCGAAGGTTGGAAGAAACGGATTAAAACTTGCTTAAAAGAACAGTGCATTCAAAAGATGCACCCCTTACATTTTATGTTCGTGGCAGTTCTTCTCGAGGCGTACAAAGGTATTTATACGAGCCAAATGGATCACCAGGCCGGAGCTAATCTTGGTTTCTGTCGCATGAAGCGACCAAGAATATTTCTAATCCCCCCTGGATGGGATGCTAGTCCATCGCAGGGTTCCCCCCAGCATTAAATTCAAGTGTCTTGCCAAAGAACACAACACAATGTCCTTGGCTAGGGCTCGAGCCCAGACCGCTGGAGCCCAGACCGCTGGAGCCCAGACCGCTCGAGCTAGCGCGCCTCTAAAGCGTACAAAAGTCCGTATTTCTGACAATCTCCAACGTAAGTTTCCACGCTGATGTTCAGATCAAAGACTGCCAAGATGTTAAAAGTAGAAATGAAAATTCAAGTCAAGAAACACGCGGTGTAAAATTGCATACTTTTATCCTTTGCAATGAGGAAGCTCGAAAATGACAGAAAATAACAAGTTTAAGAACGTATGAAGTGACTCACTTGAATAAAATTTCAAGAGCCCACGTTGTTCAAAAAGTCTACAAGTACAGATAGGAAACCCTGAGTTTTCAAGCCACTCAAGGAATAAGAAACTGGCTTGAAAAATCAGGAGATTCGAACTCCCAACTTTGTTGCTAAGGGAGCAATGAATTGCAGGGAGGTTTGAAAAATCGGGATTTCCCTCAGTGTCCCAGGTGCATATAGTTCTGGAACCAGTTCACCTTATTACAAGTCACTGCAGAACAGTTTGGCCCTCTCTGTCACACAACGTTACAGGGTAGCATTGCGTGACAAAGAGAGGACAGCAACCTGGATCCTCTGCAATATTTTGAGTTTGAGAATGTAGTAGGTTTTATTCTCTTCGTTGTTATTCATTGTCATGTTCACACAAGCTGTCAGTGGAAAATCAGCTTGGTTTAAGAGCCATCATGGTGTTAACATCCCACATCAATGTTCTAAGTTTGTCAATTAGGTCTTTAATTTCCTGATTCTTGCTTCGGAGTTTCTGTTGAAGAGAAATAACAAATGAAAATTAGGGGCAGATTTAGAGCAAGGGGGGGGNTCCGTATTTCTGACAATCTCCAACGTAAGTTTCCACGCTGATGTCCAGATCAAAGACTGCCAAGATGTTAAAAGTAGAAATCTAAATTCAAGTCAAGAAACACGCGGTGTAAAATTGCATCCATTTATCCTTTGTAATGAGGAAGCTTGAAAATGACTGAAAATAACAAGTTTAAGAACGTATGAAGTGACTCATTTGAATAAAATTTCAAGAGCCTATTTTGTTCAAAAGGTCTACAAGTACAGATATGAAACCCTGAGTTTTCATGCCACATAAGGAATAAGAAACTGGCTCGAAAAATCAGGAGGTTCGAACTCCCAACTTTGTTGCTAGGGGAGCAATGAATTGCAGGGAGGTTTGAAAAATCGGGATTTCCCTCAGTGTCCCGTGTACATATAGTTCTGGAATCAGTTCACCTTATTACAAGTCACTGCAGAACAGTTTGGCCCTCTCTGTCACACAACGTTACAGGGTAGCATTGCGTGACAAAGAGAGGACAGCAACCTGGATCCTCTGCAATATTTTGAGTTTGAGAATGTAGTAGGTTTTATTCTCTTCGTTGTTATTCATTGTCATGTTCACACAAGCTGTCAGTGGAAAATCAGCTTGGTTTAAGAGCCATCATGGTGTTAACATCCCACATCAATGTTCTAAGTTTGTCAATTAGGTCTTTAATTTCCTGATTCTTGCTTCGGAGTTTCTGTTGAAGAGAAATAACAAATGAAAATTAGGGGCAGATTTAGAGCAAGGGGGGGGGGGGG